TGAACAAGCTGCAACTCCTAGCTCACCGCCTACTCACTGTGGTGATGGGCGTTTAAGGAACATTTCAGCAAGAAAGTACAACGTCTTTTTTAATATTTTTCCCCTCCTCCCTCAGGCCTAGACCTGAATTACAGTCTTTGCCCGAGAGGCAAAAGGCTTCGTGCCTCCCTGTGGGCTGACCCAAGCCCTCGGTGTTGAGGTGGGTCACGGTTTTGGATGGAAGCACTAAGGCAGAACGCCGGCTGCCGATTTGCTCACAGGGCACCCAGCCTGTCTCTGCCCGCCCCTTGATCGCCCTACTGTCTCCAAACAAAATACATCTCTGCATCTCGTCTTCTCCTTTTTCCCCTGTTTCATTCTTTTAGCAAGAGGGATGCTTGGAGCGGCTTTCTGGTTCCACGTGATTCGTAGCAGTGGTTGAGGCATGCCAGGAAACAGGCCAACACACACAGGGGCAGACGAGTTTCTCCCGCGCTGCCCTGTAAGTTGAGAACAGCCCTCGGTCCCAGGGGCGGCGGGCCCGGGCCGGCCCGCGCTGGGGCTCGCAGTGTGGCTGTGGAGGCTGTGGCTGTGGCTGCGGCGGCGGCGCGGCCCGAAGCAGCCCCGGGCCCGAGCGGAGCGGGGCGGGCACAGCTGCCCCCCCGCCCGGGCGGAGCGCAGCCGGGCCGGCTGCCCGCGCTCCCAGCCCTCTCTCCTCCTCCGCCGCGCCATACCGGGCGCTCCCGTCCCGCCGCCTCCGTACGCGCTGTAGCAAGCTGCGGTAATTCCTTCCCTTTTCCTTAGCTGTGCCGCCCGCCCTCGCACCTCCCCGGGCGGCAGGAGGGAACCTCCGGTCCTGCACAGAGAACTCCTTGGAGCCTGGCTGTGGCGCGGTGCAGGACGCAAGTGTGTCTGGAGCTCTCAGGAGCTGTGGACATTAAAAGCTTTCAAGGACGTTTTTCTCCATTCATCCCAGTTATGTCCTCTGCTAAAATAGGTTAACGGTGTCTAATTAACCACTGCACATTGTCATGCTGCATAAAGATAGCATCCTGGCTGTTCTCTGAGCCCTGCCACTTTATCTCCATTTAGATCTCCGTGGTAGCCCATTAAATGAGAAAGAAACAGTTTAACAGAGATGATGTCTACATTGGAACTGCCTTTCACCCTTCAGCACAGAAGTTGCAGGCAGCTCAGCTGTACATCAGGGTGCTGTAAGGTCTCCGGTTTAACCCGTTCTCATTGATGTGGACGAAGGATTCCTCCTGGGCAGAACTGAGCAAAGACAACACTCAAGAGAGAGATGAGATCTATATCCTCTGCTGGAGGGCAGACCTAGGAGACAGATAGGTATTCTGTACTGGGAGTGACATACCATGGGGTTACACAAGGATTGTCAGGGTCTTTCACCCAGTCTCACAGCTATTCAATACCCTGAAATAGAGAGGGGATAAGCAGCTGTCCAAAGCCAGAAGGAATATTCTGGGATTATGATTATGTTTAGGAGTGCTGACACCTCTCAGGGAAAGGCAGTTTAAAGGGAACTGTCCAGCGGATGGAATGAGTCCCTGTTCTTTGCCCCTCCAGGTTCAATGGACTTGGAACATAAGTGAAAAAAACAGATGTATTCCTGTCTCATAAAAATGGGGAGTGGCTGGTGTATAATACAGGAGAATGAATGTATTTCTGAGCACTGCTCCTGGGATGGTATTGCTTTGTTTATCCTTACTTGAGTGACTGTATCTGTAGTTCATATTAAATTGCTCATTTTGTAAGTCCTTGTTGCTGCCCTCCCTGGGCTGTGCCTGCTGCTGCAGCAGACAAAGCAGGGAGTGTTGCTGAGAACATCAGAAAAGAGTAGAGATGCTGTGTATGCTGGCTTGTCAGGTTCATTCCATGTCTGCTTCCACTCACTGCTAGAAAGCTCACAAGATGAATGAAGAGGGTGCTGTTTTTACCTAGACCTGATATTCCTGAAGGAGGAAGTGTTGGTCTCAATGTGTGCCAGTTGGCATTGGTAAGATGAGACTATTCTTAGGAAAGGGTACTCCACATAGCAATGTGATAACATCGTGAAGAAATCCTGTGATGCTGCCCATAGTACTTGGAGAGCAGAGACAAGCAGGTGATTGGTTCTGCAGGAATACTATCTCTAGGTAGCCCTCAGCTAAGTTTATGGAATGGACAGAATTGAAGGTAGGGCACCTTTTGAAGATTTTGAAGATATTAATGATTTCTCTTGCTGCCTTGGAGGTTTTTAACCTTAAAACATAAGACAAAGCTTGTCTTTCCCCTCAGAGTCACTTTGTTACGTAGATTTAGGTACTGCAGTTTTGCTAAAAAAGCAAAAGACTAGTTAGACCAAGAATGTTTTGTGATTTTTTCCCCCTAGTCTGAAACAAGAACTCACAAAGTAATTTGGCACCAAACAAAATAAAAGGAAAACTTAATAAAAAAATAGAGGAAATAGCAGGTTGCATGATATCTTTTTTGCTTGATCATTAGGGCTACAGAGAGTGTAAACATACAATTCCTTCCTGTGCTATAGAAGCTTCATACTATATTTTGGGATAGTTTTCTACACGTGAGCTCATGAGCTGACTTGAAATGCTAGTTTCATCAAATAATGCCATACCAAATCATATATTAACAGACATATCCAGTACAGGTGACTGGAAGCAGATGTCTCTCCTGAACAGAAGAGCAGTCATTTCTAGCTCCTGCACCAGTGCTGTTAGTATATAAATGCTCTGTATAAGCTGCCGTACTGTCAGCATGAGAGATTTGCCTCACCCAGTGCCACCACTGGCACCTGTGGCACAGGGACTGAGGTGTTCTCCTGGGGGCACTCACCATGGGGCTGTAACTTGCCCTGGGAGAGGAAGGAATGGTCTTTGATGGGAGAGTTCTAACATCTGGGCTCTGGTATTAAAGGGGCCCTTGCCCTGGGAGAGGAAGGAATGGTCTTTGATGGGAGAGTTCTAACACCTGGGCTCTGGTATTAAAGGGGGCTATTCCCCCCATCCCTAATGATGAGTTTGTTCCCCAGATTACTGTTTTTTCCAATGTATAGTGCAGCTGTTTCATAATGAGGTATTTGCTTGTTGTCCTGAATAAGTCCTTTCCTAACAAGACGGAAAAGTTGAGAAAGCCTAAGTCTCACAACATAAGCAAAGCAGTTTCTGCCTCTAAGACTAACATGACTGCCTTCCCTGTGGGCCACCTGGATATTAGTCATGACAGGGAGCTTAGGAAGAAGAAACAGAAATTGCTTACAGGGATAGTAGTAGTGACCTTTTCTCCTGGGAAGTATGAACATGTGGAGTGTTTCATTCCTGCCTGGAGACAGGAGCAAAGATGTAAGGAGTGTGAGTACTGAGGGAGAGAGTGTTACTTGGGGTTGGACAATCATCAAGAGTAACAGGATCATCCCAAGAAGCTGTTAAATTGAACCCCCAGGAAATCTATGCATGGCTGTGCAATGCCATCATTTGGGATGTTTCAGCATGAAAAGGGCAAGGCTATGTGGGAACCAGTTCTGTGAAGGCATAAAGGAGGAATAAAATAGGAGAAATCTTGCATCATCTTTCTACCTCTATCTTCTCAGAAACTAAACACCACTGGGTGCTGGTGGAGGGCTCTCTGAAGCCATCTATTTCTTCCTCCATAGTATCAGGAGGTTCACAAAAAGTACTTTGTGCTACCACTGGGGAGAAGGATGGAGCTGGACAGTTCATTCTCACTGGAAGAGCTCTTTCCCCAGTTATGTTCCATTTTTGCCTTTGAACGGAGGGTGCAGATATAGCTGAAAGCCCAGGTGCAGATGTCACTACACAGCTGCAGTTCTGATTATAGCAGTCGATGTTCCTGGGCTCACATCACTGATTCAGTGTCATCTTTAGCTTCTCACAGACTGCAAGCTCCAGAGAGAGCAGTAGAGACAAAGGGCTTTCTTCTCCTTATACCTCTTCTCTGTATAGCTAGACATCCTCTCTGCCCTAGTCCTTGCTCTTAAAAGAGTAGATTATTCACAGGAGAGCTAGATGAAGACTGTGGCTTGCTAGAACAGAAAGCAGATGAGGAGAGGCCTGTGCCATGTCACAAAGTGCTTTGAAAAGAGCAATGCAAGGCAGTGAAGCAACTTTTCTTACATCTTGGTGCATCCTGGGACAGTGCATGTGATGGAGGAGAGCCCCATGTATTCTTTGTCATGACACTTGGACTTCAGGGGACGGGAGAATATTTATTCCCAACACATAGACATGAAACTTCACTCTGCAAAATGGCCAAAGCAATCAGCGAGTGATGGAGTATCTGCTAAAAAGAAACCTGGCATTTAATTAACTTTTCAAAGTGCTGGTTCAGCAATCTCCATGTTTTACATTTTGAATATTGAACAAGCGTCCCTAATCGGGGCTGAATTACTTCTGGGCTTGCTGGGGTGGAGAGCAAGGGAGCTGCCATTTGCCAGCACCTCCCTGCCATGTTATTATTATGAACTCCTGTTAACTCAGCCTGATCAACCCTGATTTTTTGCCATGACTGCATGACCTGAGCTTGGCCAGCTCAGGTGGGACTCCTAATCTGAAAGGCAGTGAGAAAATCTTTATGTACAACCATGGGGAGGAAGAAACTGTTGATCTCTCAGGAGTAGGGAGACAAAGTATAGCACCTTCTTCACTCCTTAATGTGCCAACCTCTCTACTCAGGTATGGCCAGCTTTACCTGCAGCTGATGGTAAAGGGGACAAAAAAGTATCTGAGAAACTAAAGAACCAGGGGATATTGCCATATTTAGGCATGGCTGTCTTTTGGGACCCAAGTGGTTTTGTTTCAGTATGTCTCACTCAGGGACTTTTTGATACACTGGCTTAATAGTCACTCAGAACTCTTTAAGGTATGATGTGTTATGTATCAGACCTCATGCAGGAACTGTTTTGCACAATAACAATCATATAGGGAAAGGTGAAGTTTTTCATTTTCTCTAGCCTTTTCTAAACATAAGCCATCCTTGTCTTGCAGGTCAGGAAGAAAGCATGCAGAAGAAGTAGAAGAGTAAGTTCCCATTGTCGCTGAGACTTCTTCCACAACTTTTACATCTGATCTGATCATCTGACCAGTACACCAAGATCTGAAAGTTGGGAAGGATGCAGAGCCTGTCAGGCATTCATATCATGTGTCTTGGGATGGAGCCAGGCTGGTCATTCTATAGTTCCCTGGATATAGAGTAGATGATGGATCTGTCACTTCCATAAAATAGAAAGAAAGAAAATGAGAAAGCCACTGCTTTCCTCCCAGACCCACCCCAGGCCCTACTGTCTTCAGCCTAGGGGTTTGTCTTAGGTACATCTTGCTTAAAGTGAGATTTCTGCTGAGCCCAGCATTGAATGGTATGGAAGATCAGTCTTCCATGTGGGCTAAGCATACTTGGAAACTCTCTCCTTGACAGCATACTTGGAAACTCTTCTCCTTTGCAGTTTGTGGGGAGGAAGGGGGCACAAGAAGATGTTTTTCTGGGCTTGTAATTGAAATTCTTTCTTGTGCTTTGCTGCAGCCATCGTCTTAGACAGCAGAGCCTGGAGGCATCAGATGATGGAGGAGGTAAGGTACTTGACTGCAAGAAGTGCCTTCATGCATGTCTAGGGGCTCTCCAGTAAAGTGAGCCCAGGCATCTTGTAAGAAATTGCAAGGAAATTAACCACTCTGGGGGTAAACAAATGTAGGAGCTGCTTAGGTCTCCCTGGGTGAATGAGGGAGAAAGGGTAAAGGAGATGGAGAGGGAGGATGAGGAAGTGAACTTGTAGTCCAACTCTGGCTCTTCATGAACACAGAATTAGGGAGGACCCTTGGAAAGCAGGAAAGTGGCAAGGACACACTTTTCTCTGTAATTACCTCCATGGAGAATAACGGACTGGGCAAAATGAGAGCTAAAAGCACAATAAAAGATTAAGAATGGTGAAAGAAGTCCCTGCTCTCCTCTGGCTTAGGTGGTAGCAGGCTCTGCTTAAAGCATCTGTTATCTATTGTAGCAATATCCTTGTTTCCTGGAGTTTCTGTCATGATGGAATTCTTGATTTAAAAAATCTGCTTGCCCTTATCCAAGATCATAGATCATAAGCTAAACATAAACACTGGTGGGTAATCCCATCTCATCCCTTTACAGGCTGCTATGAAATCTACTGGCCTCCTGACTTAGCACTAGTTTTCTTTATAGTGTATATTGCTCTTCTAGGACTGGATGAGTCAGGAGAAATCTCAGTAAAAATATGAATTTCAAGACAAGCAATAGACAACTGTGGGGAGCACAGAAATTCATTAAAGCCTCTAATAAGTACCTCAGTTTTCAAGGACTAAGAATTTCCTAGAGTATATAAAAAGTTGCATCTGTAAAATATCACCAAGCATCAGAAGAATTATCTGGAGTCACAAAGGATCAGACATCAGTATGGTTAATGAGATTAAATGAAGACTTATTTGGGTCTTCCAGACAGATTAAGCATTGCAACATATGACTGCCAGAAGTGGCACCTTTATAGCATTGGCATCTTCAGAACAGACTAAATTTTCCCCCTGGGAAGTTCCTTGGGCTTCTTAAATTTCAGCGTATGTCACTGAGGCTGGTAGTCTGTTCTGAACAGCTCTGTTTGCACACATGCTGTCCTTTTTGTTGAACCCTGGTCATGTACTTGCAGTATGACTATCTTTGCTAGCCAGGCATAAAAATGCTTGCCACATGTTTGTTTGTAGCATGTGACTTTCAGCACTCCAAGACCTTGGGTAATAAATATAGAATAGGATTGATGCAGAGTGTGGTATGAAGACATGCTGAATCCTAATAGACTTCACTTATTTATTTGTGTCTAACCTGTGGTTAGCAGCTGAATTTGGATTGTTTGCAAGCTGGCATTTAGCCTTGGATTAAATGTATGCATTAGAAGAAAGATATAGTGTGGTTCCTACCCAGGCAGCTTCTGGTATAAATACGCTGGGTTGTGGATCTAATTTGTATATAGAAAAATCTCTAAAATGGATGGTGCATTGCATAGTTGTGTTCCTATTCTGACAAGGAGATTAGGCAAACTGTACCGGGAGAGGAATTTTCCATGTGAGCTCAGCAACTGGAGTGAAGAAGAGTGACATATAAACAAACTCCAGAAGAAGATTACTTTTTTGAATAAGCAGAGAGATACAAATAACTGCCTAGCGTAGAAGACAGGGAGTAGCATGCAGTGGCTGTGGCTGTGCAGAAAATTGAGCTGTATCAGCCTCCCCTTTGCATAGAACTGCACTTCAGTTTGTGTCCTTAACTAGAACAGTAAAGCCCAGAGTATAAACAAACAAAAATCAAGACATTGGTGTATGGATCCCCAAGGATGGGTCACGGTTATTTTGTGCTGCATAATGTCTTAGCTTGTACACCTTAATATGAACAGGCGCGGTTGCGTAATGATTGCTGCTGTCAACCAATACATTTGGATCGCCTTCCTTTAACCTGTTAAAAAGCTGAGCTGTACCATTCCATTAACATTGTTTGTCCCCCATCCAACCTTTTCATTAGAAGAATGAAGGACAAAACTATATGCCCTTAAAAAGGTGTTCTTATGAATTTGAAATGTGCTCAGTTGTCATTTATACATCTCTAACAACCAGAGGCTCTGAGTTTGGAGTCCATTTGAGAACGTGTTAAAAAAGTATAGGGGCTGTAGAGAACCCAGTTTGGCAGGTGGAACGTGGAGGGAAGTTTGTACAGCCAAGTGGAGACTTCTGGGCTTGACAGGCTTTGTAGTTTCAGAAATAAAAGTAGAATTCTTTCACTGCTCCTGGCTTGTGTATGAAATAGCATCTGATTCCTTATCTCTGTGGGAGTTTGGGGGAGAAGGATGGACACTTCTCAGGCTGTGTGGAATGAGTGAAACAGTATGGGAGGTAATAAGTGGGTGGACCAGACAGGGACATGCATGGAATGATCTGCAGTTTCAGCCATTTGTTATGGTTGCACAGGGAAACTCAGAAGGTGCAAGACAGTTTTGAAAAAGTGCAGCGTCTCTCCAAAAGTAGCTCTGGATTATCTAGTTGATGGCGAGGTTGATTTCCTACAGCAGCCACTGCAATCTTAGTGCTGACCCTCCTGAGCACATGGTGGTACTCGTGAGAACTCAGGCACAGCAAATGGATAATGCCTCTGTTAGTGGGTGTGTGCCCACTGGACTTTGTCATGGGGGACCAGGTCCTCTGCATGGTGAGAAACCTGCTTTAGCAGGATTTAATGCATGACACTTGAGGAATAATAAACCTTCACAAGCAACACAAAAGTGTTTAATTCCTAAAGGACAGGCCTAGTTAAGTCACTTTCGGCCAGGGGCAATTGGGGGCTTAATGCTTTGTATGTAGCAATCTGTGCAATCTGAGAGAGAGGAGTTTGAGGGTAATTGCTCAATTTTCTGTCCATGTCAACAGGGAAAATGAGCAGCAGTGAGTGAGCTCTGTATGGCAGGGAAACTGCTCGAGATGGGAGATGTGAGACCCTCTGTGGAATTTAAAAGGTGCTGTCTGCAGCACAGTGCTTCCTTTTCTGTAGCAGCTAAGAGCTTCTGCCACGTGCAGACTATCCTTTGTCATGAGGTGGGAGGGAAGATGGGACAACCAAGCTGAAGTTGAAGGGCTTTATCCTCCCTTTGCTCCTTTCTCCAGCAGGGCATAGAGGGCTTTACTCTGTTCGTGTGTCTCTTTCTGTCACAGAGCTAGATAGGGCTGTTTCCTATCAGGGCAAGAAATGCTAACATTCCTCCCCCACTTTAGCAATCTGATTTGTCCTTTGGCTAGAAATTTCTTTGTTGTTCCTTTCTTGTCCACCCGTTCTGCACTGCTGTGTTGTATTCCCCCTGATGTCTTTCTCCTTAGTACTTTGCCCTTGAATTTTTCTCCTCAGCACTTTATGGGAACTTATTAGCTAAGGTTGTTCTCCCTCTCCCAGGTGTTCCCACATCTGATGCCCCACCATCAGAAGTCCCTTTTTGCTTTCTCTCTTTTACTCTTGGGATGCATAGCTCCTAGAAAAGGGCTTTTCTTGGAGGACTGGGATATCATGTGTATTTTCTGTCTGCAGGAACAAACAGCTTGTTATTTTAAAGGAGATAGTGTGTGTGAACGAGACAGCTGATTGAAATGAAAGCCTAACCATGCTACATAGACAACTGGAACCTGACCTGCAGGTGAGGAAAGCTGCCAGGAGACAGTCACAAGATCTGTGCCCTCAAGGCAAAACCCCTTCCTGCCTGCTGGGAAGCCTCCTCAAGGAAGCAGAGCTGATGATTAGACCTCTCTATGCAATGTCAAAACTCTAGAAGGACTTACCCTTCTGGCATGTGCCAGCAGCTCCTTTGCATTTGAACAGGATAAGAGTCCAGACTTTGAACAACAGAGGGGAAGTGGGCAGATGCCATGGTCCCCAATCCTTCTGGGTAGTGATATCTGTCAGGTGAGAGGTCTGTAATTCACAGCCATAAAATATCCAACACTGCTTGAGCTGCATGCAAATATCCACCAATGATGATATTGCTCCAAAGACCTGAGAATAGAGCACAGTGAGGGTTATTGTTGGCTCTATCATTCCTGATCAATTTTGCCAGTTGCTTCCCTGGTGAGCTGCTGTTTCCACAGAGCACACCAAGTGCTGGTGGATTCCAGAGGCCATGAGCTGCAAGGACAGCTGCAGTGGCTGAGCATGAGGGTAAGAGAGGGCGGAATCTGTAGGAACAGTCAGGGATATGGCAGGTGGCTACTTCATAGGCTCAGAAGGCAGTGTTGGAGTGATTTGGGGAGAGATAAATGGATGAAAAGTTCTGAGCATCAGTGAAACGGAGACAGAGTGAAAAACATGCTGTTTTGGAAGTGTTATGAATGGGCTGAACAGAAGGTTTTGGGGCAGAGAGTGTCAGTGGTTATTGGGTCTCTGTGACACTGCGTTGTGACTTCATGTGTGGCTCTTTCAGCACACCACAGCTCTCCCCTTTGCTGCTCCCCCACCTAATGCACTACTCTGAGTCTCTGTGCAAAGTCACTGAAGGGCAGACTTGGCCCAGCCTGATGGTTTCCACTGAGCTGTTGGTCCAGGCCAGTTTGAACTCCTCCAATAATTGCTGGCATTGTGATCTAGAGCTCTGGTGCTGGAGAAAGGCTCTCTCTTGAGAGCCACAGTAGGCAAGGGAGAGCAGAGAGTATGTCCTGAGAGACTGTCTTGAAGCAGCAGACCACTGGCCAAGGGTCAGTGGGCTCCTTAATTACAAGGGAGCACATACAGCTTGTTGAGGGCTGAAAATGACAGTCTGAGGAAGTTGCTAAATTCTGCGATATGGTGGATACACAGTCATATTGGCTCTGTGATTGCTGAGTCCATAAATGTATTTGACGGACTAGGTTTACCTAAAATACCCTTTAAGAAAAAGCTCTTGAAAGATGATTACAGAATTGAGACACCATCATTTAAAACTGCCTGAGGCAAACTCCTTTGAAAATTGCAGCAGTGGAGGGACAGAGAGAGAACCGCATAGCCCTTGATTGTAGTGTCGTTCCCTCAGGACCCGTCCCCCCTCCTCCTCAGT